CCCCAAAACCCCAAAACCCAACACCATCTTCCATCATACATTTCAAAGAAATAAACATAATAATTAGCTATTTTATATCTAAGTGGTTATGAAATCAAAAACTTAATTCAAAGAATATATTAGAGTGTATTATACTTGACTTAAAAAATCTTTCATCTTCTTATTTGATTAATACTTTATTTAATCGCCATATAATTTAACCGCTAGTTCTCTGTGCTAAGCTACTTAATTTCATTATCACACCAATCAATTACTTTGGAATCAAAGTCTTGCTTGTATAATTAAAAACTATTAACATTCTCGATTCCATCGTCTCTACCAGTATTGTCGATGTCTTTTATCTAGCTATTGAGTTTTTCCTTTACCATCCTATTTAACTATCTTAAATTCTCATTGGATTTAGTCAATTTATTCAAAGTTCTCATATACATGCCTTGAAGAGTCGTATATTTTATAAGTTTTATCTTTGTGCTTCTCAAAAACTGGATTACTTTTTAAACTAGTTCTGCTATCACTATTCTCCTCTCTGCTTGTAAGGTAGCTTAAAATAGAAGAATCATTGTGTTTAATTGATCTTTATTGAATTTAAGAAATTCGGCTCATACTTTGATTATGCCTTATAGGTGTATTTAAAGAATTGAGTGATGAATCTCTTAGTTGCTAAACTGAACTATCCAGGTAGTAGTTTTTTTATTATAAAGCAGTCGGTATTGGCGAGTTACTATTGGTCTTTTTATGTTTCAAATTTTGTCTCATTCTTATTCTTTAAACTATTTTCATCTAAGGATCGAGTTAATCTATCTTAATTGCTATTGATTATCGCTATTTTATGTATTCTTTTAGATTTATATCAAAAACTGTTTGTCTTTTCCTATCAATTTTTTCCTCTTCAATTTTCTGCAGATCCTTTTTTTCATGAAAGAAAGGTTCAATATCATTTTCCTTTATTTTATACTTCTAATTAAGTTTTTCTTTCCACATAACAGGTAATTTTACAGAATATTCCAGACTTTTATCAATGAGAACTTAATTTCCTTCTATTAGTTATTCTTTTACATATTATCTATACTCTGATGAATCAGCTTTCTTTTGCTTGATTTGTAAAGTATCAGAGTCAAACTAATTGAGATTTCCACTTTACCTACATTTCTCTAATTCTTTCATTTTCTCACTAAATAGTTTTCTAATCTAAATTGGCTTTAGCTTTTATACTTCTTTTGTTAAATTAGAAGCATTTTTAGGGAGAAAAACTTGAAAATCTATTGCTGATTAATCCTCATATTAAACTATTCTTCCAGAAGCTTACAATGCTAGCTCTTCTTAGTTCCTCTTTCTTTACTCAATAATCTGATTTAGTAGTTTCTAAAACTTTGTTAGCTATTACTAATACTGTAACTAGTTCTCATTTCTTGTTTCATCAATCAAATCTGCATTTGATTCAGTAGGTTTAAAACCGATTTTCTTGAGGAATTAATTAAAATGGACTTTATTTAATTCTTTATTCTTATTCCTGATATTGGTTAACTTTTTCTCAAGATTCATTTACTCTTGAACTTCCTTTATCATATTGTAAGAAAAGATTTCGTCATCGTGCTGGTTTGCATCTTTAAGAATGTTTAGGTCTTAAGACTAAACTTATGATAAGGCTATAAGATCTTGAAAATGAAGATTTAGATTTTTTTCATTCTTAATGTCCTTGTTGAATAATGGATTATCTTTGAAAGCCTTGGTTTTAGGCATTCTAAGATTTGCTACAATGCTAACAGCTCTTTCTCTGTCCCCATCATGAGTTTGATTCATTTAATTGAATAATTTCAAATAATCCTTGCTTGAGAGTTGAGGCTTACTAATCTTTATTTTTTTACCGACTTCGACATCTGAATGAGAGTCACTACTATTATTAGATTTCTTATTCACAAGTGACTATCTTCGCTCATGTTTACTTTTCTTTGGATGATTATATTTATCTTAAGCATATCTATCAATTCTTGAAAATTCTCTTTCAGTTTTTTCCATTAACTGATAGTCATCTTTAAATTTGATGTATTTTTTAGGTTCAAACTCCTTAGATTTGCTTAGACTCAAACTTAACTAACGAATATTTTGATTCATTCTTTGAGAATACCTATTTCACCCATCTTAAAGTTTATACATCTTTTTTAGATTCTAAAAGAGCTTAGCTCTGTCCTCTAGCCCACTTACTTGGTCAAGTTTTGCTAGAAATCCAAAAACTTTATCTTTCTATTCTTCAGACTATTCTTCCATTAATTTTAATTTATTTATTAGATTAATGTTATACTAATAAATATTCATAGAAATCTAAATATATATAGTCATATATTAAAAAGTTTTTTTCTTCAAGATAATTTATTAAAATAAATAATATCATTTCTAAATATGTCAATTAAGACTTCATGGGGTTTTGGGGTTTTGGGG